GCGCATTGTGCGATGACCTGCCTTCATTAACATTTACTTTGGTGGACTGCGAATCGTATTAACGATGGAATTCACGGCCAGTTGTTTTGTTCAGGCAGGTTGCATTTATAGAAATAGAAGTACACATTTCTAATAATTGTGTGTGCTTAACTTCCCTTCTATGATCTGAGTATAACATCTTCGATAGCTCTCGAAGGAATCTTATCGCTAATTAGAATTTGTAGTAACTAAATTTCCATTAGAGATTTCAACGTGTTGTTCTCCCAAGTCCAATTTATCTTTTAATCTTTTGCCCTATAGTTTAGGGGTAATTTTATCAGATAGCAGATAAGCATAGATAGATTACAATTACATAATTATTTGCTTTTGGGACACACCATGCATGGTCAAAATGGATGTCATGTTGATTTTTCCCGAAATTACAAAGTTTTAACTGTTTCGATTCTTGGCTATGTTTCTCTTTAATTTCTTTGCAACAATGGTGTCTCCTATAAGAAGACTGCTTGCATTGAGGATAGTTTGGTAATTGCCTATTAATTCCTGCCTTGAAAAGGCCCATTAGGCGCTTGTCATACAAGAAATAATCGATTAGCAACAATCAGTAAGCGATATTTTAACTAGCATTCAACAACGAATAACGTCGTAGATAAATGATAAGCTGTATTTCATTTAACTTTTGATAATAGTCGTTTCAAAGATTTATTTTGTTTTGTTCACAATGCGGATGCAATAACGACCTTGGTCTATTGAGATTTAGCTTCTTTTTGCCTGATTGAATTTTGATATTATTAAAAGAAAACTAGCAACCATAGATTAAATTGCTGCTGCGTAGATCCTAAATATTATCCTAATTGATTATTAAACTACATCGTCGTATTTTTATTTCACTAACGACATGCAAAATTCGTCCGCGATGAATAAATTTCACACGTGAATTTCTTTATGCATGGTCATGTTTTGCTGTATTTTATTTGTATGAACTTGACATTTGACACTTGGTTGAATTTTAATATGACTGCGACTGGTAAATACCACTCCTGTAAGCAAAATTGCCTAACTATGCAGGTAGGTACTATTAAGAATAGAAATATGGATCTAGATTCTAAAGTAATCAATCAGACATACGTATTATAAGTTAAATAAATTGCTATAGCACAGAAAAAAATGATTGAAACCACAGACTCTACATTGTTGAATAAATTCTTATTAGAGCAGGTATAAAATCCTCTGTTTCTTAGAACGTTAATAAAGACGTACGTATGAAGCATAGCTACATAACTACTGTACCAAGGCTTCGCGATTCCCACAGAGATTACAATCAATACACCTACAAAGATGATGTGCAAAGGAATTTTATCGTGTTACGCAAACCATTCGCCAAAATCTGGTCCCTTTCGCGTTGGGCTTTTATCACAAAGTGTTATGGGTCAAAATTGTGTGACAGACATTGATCTAGGTAAGCCCGGCGTTTAACATGGTGCCCATTGTGTTTCGATTCTCATGCGCCAGCCATCAAGTTGATTCTCAAAACTTATTCTTTTGTGTGAACGAAGAAAGAATTTTAATGCTTCCGTCTGAACTTGAAGATCACACAATGGTGGTGCTTATGTAACGTTATAGTAAATGCCTTTGGTTAGGTTTCCGAGCATGCGCAAGTGATCTAGTTTGCATGATATTTGCGATTCAGCGTCCACACGCCGGTGTTGCTACCGATTCAGACTCGTAATGAAGGTTGGATAGGTTTTAGGAAATGAATATACCAGATCAATAGACATGGATCTTTCTATACCTTGCGAATTTCATTGTTAAGGCGATTACTCAGATCTATGATCTGAGGGGCAAACGAACATGTGAACATCAAGTTTCTTCAACCCGTCTGGACTGTCGAGTACTTCAGTAGACCCAATCTTCCGTTTTTCTCTGGAAAATTGTGTCTGCCTTCGGCAGTAGAGACTCTTTAGTAACGGTGATGAAATGATGAATGGTGTATCATTTCATCACCGTTTGATGATGATGATGATTATGTACGAGTACCTATATCATAATCACCAGTTATCTTCATTACCTCAGATCATAGAAGGGAATAGATGTGAAACGGGGGCGTGGCGCGTGTCTCCGCGATATGCCCAGAAACGAACATCGGCCGCGTAGCTAGGTTAGTCGCGATTCAGTCGTACTAAGGAAATGTTCTCCGATATTTTGGATAATGCGTCGTTACGTGCAATAAAACAAGTGAAACGAACGAACTACAGGAACAATGGAGTCATTTACTACATGTAAGTATTGCAAATCCATTGGTATTTTGCTTATAAATAAAAAAAACTAAACATTTTTACGAACGTATTCAGTGCCGTAACAGTTACTGCGATATCGAAATCAGTGGTGATAAAAATTCTAACACACTTGTACATTGACGATTTAGTTAGCAACCACTTTATGTCGTGCTCAACTACTGCGCAATGTATTTAATTTCTTCCGATATCCACTGTCGTGTGAAAATACACAGTACGGCCGCATGTGCCGGTCGTAACATAGTGCCGTGCTCGTGTTCTAATGCGGTTTCCTATTATCGATAAATAGAAGTAAATTATAATTTTCCATTTTGTAATTTTAAATAAAAAAATGATGTGTTACTTGCGATTATAAGATTTTACAAAAAAAATAATAACAGTAGAAGTAATTAGTAACTGTCAACTATGTAATTACTATAAGAGCTAGTTGAAAGCCTAATATAGGCATTATTTTGGTAAACATATGCGGTACGCAGATCGCCATAATTAAAAAGTAAATGCGTGATAGTAGCTATTATTAACGTATAATAATAAAAAGGTTTTCATACATAAGCATTTTGTGAAACCAGTTTCGAGCCTTGCCCCTAGCGATTTAAAGTATCGATATCTTGTCGACTCCATTTTATCTTTGTTCTCTCACTAGCGTTTTCTATGTGTGCGTCACGTCACGCGGCCATTGATTGGCCATAATTCACGCCTTCTGGCCAATCACAGCACTTTTAAGACGGTTGCACATGTTGTCGTAGACTCTCAGTCGCTTTGTTTTTACACAGTTGAATGTGTGTGTGGGAGCTGTGGTGGGGGAAATGTGGGGACACTGGTTCTCGTTGTAGTTACGCGCGACTTCATATCTATTCTCTTTCTATGATCTGAGTTCATTACCAAATGATGAGCTATAATCTGAGAAGTGATATCTATCCAAGCCACAGCCTATGGTGTTGCCTGCTAATCGATTAACTAATACTCACTCCGTGTTAATTAATATCATTGATTAGCTGTCATTGCATCTATGTGATAATATAATTGCCGTGAAATAAGAGTAGGAGTGCAGGTGCGGTTTTGTTCCCTAGTCGATGAAGTACCTGATGTCGTGCCCTGAGTGCCCAAGCAACTGCACTCAGGAGGATTGGAAGAGTGCTGCTGACAACGCCACTCTTGTGGCGGAGTTTTGGGCTGACACTGTAGGTTTGTTGTCGACACGAAAAGAAGAAGAAGAAGAGTAGGAGAAATCCTAGGAATATAAAATTGCACTGTGGAAGCTAATTCCGAAATTGATTGAACATTTTGATATCTGACTTTTTCTATTTTGTTTTATAAACTCCGGCATTTACTCGTAGGTGTCTAGAAATATTAATTACGTCAAAATACATCAAAACCAGTTACAAAATAAAGGTGAAACAGACGTTCGAGATTAGTGGTGCAAATTGGGGTCGGGTGTCCCTTTATAAGGGCCCTGTTTTTATAGATGACCGCGGCCGATTACTGAGTTACCAGATACGACCCGGGGCGACCTCGGATCAGATGTTCTGGAGATTTGACCCAAAAAGAAAGGTTCTTACCTTGTTTTTTCGTAAGCATCAAACTTCGACATCCTTAATTATAATTTGCTCCAATGAATTTGAGATTAAAGGGAGGTTTTAGCTTTACAGACGAGAATAGTTAAAAATCTAACCAATCAATCTTATACAAGCTTTTGTCGGATCCTCCTAACATGTGTCCCGTAGTCCTTTTGTACATTTAACAATATCCTGTTCGTCCTTGCCTGGATATTGACGACTAACCAGCAACAAAGGGCAGAGATAAATTCTTGCCATCTGACATTTGGTGTACGTAACCCCCTATCATACAGGCCAGGTGCCGTGGCACGTGCGGGCGACATCTGTCGGGCAAAAAATAATATTATTATTTATCTTTATTGCACACCTCTTGCAAGACATCTGCTATTCTATTTTAACGCGATCATCTGTCGACTCGATGCCGTATTTCGACTTACTCCAGAATAGCACCCTAATGTGATGAAATAAGGTCAGCATTCGTTCGCATTAGTCTTTCTTCGGAAATAAAAAGGTATTTTACTTTTTTCGGGGGTTGATCGCGTCTATTGAAAGGTTAAGTTCCGTGTGTTTTCCGATCTATTGCGGCTGTATATCCAGAGGTTTAGAGGTATCTTTTGTTTATCTCCTACATTATATCGCTAAATCTTTTCTGGAGGTAAGAATTTATCTTTTGTCGGGTATTGTTAAGACGAGCACGGGGATATGGACACGATGATATCGTTTCTTTTCTGTGGCAATTGCAATTGGTAAGGTTTGGAATTTTTCAGTTCAGGCGATGGTTAATAATGGTTTTGTTAATTACAAATCAATTAGGTACCTATGTTTTAATTCATTTAAACAGGAAGACTAAAATTTAAATTTTCAACTACCTATTTGCATTCTTTAACAAATATTCTACTTAGGCACTTCATTTTGAAAGTGTAGACGCAACCTCCGTGCTCCGGTTTTGATATGCGAAATCAAAATAGCTGCGCGATGGTGTGTGACGAAAAACAACTGACGACCGTGAATGATCGAATGCTTTTTTAGTTTTTTTACAATATTTTAACGACCGCGAGGTGCGCTGGCACAAAAACAAAAGACTGTGCTGCGGCGGCAACAAGAAATAGTGGTGGTAATTTTTTCGATGACGTTAAAAATTGATTTTTTTCAGGACTGTCACGGACCGGAGTTCGATGACCTGGCGGTTGCTGACGACGTGCAAAATTACGAGCTGATATCGGGGTACCAGAATGACACGCACACCACCGTCGAATTTAGGAGGCAGCTGGATACGTGTGATAAGCAAGACTTCGTTATTGGCGTAAGTGATTTTTTACTGAACTGTTTTTTTTCCTCGTCCTCCTATCTAAGTCGGTTATTATTATAATCTTTATTGTGGTCATTTTATAATTATGTTTATTATTTAGAGATTCTCAGTGCATTACTTCCATTTCACCCAGTGGACACGAGAAAAGAGTCATGTTTTATCCAGCATTTTTATGAAAGAAGAAAAAGACTGAGCAACTGTATTAATCTTTTTCATTTCTCATTTGTTTTTATAGGAATTATGCAATGCACGGCATGTGCAATGTGCATTGCCATTTTCAAGTAAATTTAAACCGTTATTATTGTTGAAACAATCTTTTTTACTTCTCACTTATTTTACAGGAAGACACAGTGCAAGTGCTCTGGGCGCTAGGTCCCGAGGGTTCGGATGGGGAGCTCCCCAAACATGTGAAGAGTGGATCCAGGCCATTGCGTCTGCTGCAGCCAGTGGCCAAACCTCAAGTACCTCTTATGAACTGGGACGTGAGGCTGAACAATGTAAGTTTCTTAACATGATTTTTTTTTATGTGACAGGAGGCAAACGAGCAGACGGATCACCTGATGATAGCAGTAAGAGTTGGGGTATCGTATTTGCGTTCACCTTTTGGTATCACTGTCTTAGCCACTGGTGAGTGACTGGACCTTACTCTACAGTGGCTCCAACTGGTAAGGGCAAATATGGTAGCTCAGATTACCTCTTAAGTATTATTAGGACATCACACTGTTGGTAAGGTAGTAGCAGGAAGGCGCTGGACGCAGGCCGCTACCAACCGGGCAACATGGAAAGCATTGGGGGAGGCCTTTGTTCAGCAGTGGACGTCCTATGGCTATGATGATGATGATGATGAGGCAAGGATTAAAATTCTGTATCCATCAGAACCAAAGTAATTGATTAAATTAATAGTTATTTTCCAACGATAGAGATTGAGTGCTTTTTGAGCTTTCGATTTGAATTGTCGAGTTTTTTGTTCAGTGAGTGTAAAATGGACCTACAAATTAAAGATGTAACAGTATAAATTACAATTTTGCGATTACCAGCAGTAGTATCATCACGTTATCCAAATGCGCTGCATTATGCCAAGTTAGATAAGCGTAAATAAGCCAGCTTTCAACAAATCATTGTTTGCGTGTGTTTTCCACTGCCTAGCCAGTGCCTTCCAATCTGCACCGAATATTTATTGAACTTCATTTAAACTATCATTTATACATATAAATACAGATGACGGCATATCAAGCTCTACATATACTATAGTGGCCTCTTATGTCCTTATTAACAGAGGCGATTTTGCAACAGAAATATGTAGACTGATGTTCTATCATTTTTGTACCATTTTGAAATATTTTGTGTGCCAAAAGCAATTTCTATTCTAATCTATTTTACGGGTTTCATACCCTCTAGATGAGAAACTTGCTGAGTTTTATATGATTCAGGAGATGAGAAATCTAGCCATATCATCAACACGTTAAAACCTGGTTGATACTTACAGTCGCAAACAGAAACAAATACATTGTTGTCTTCGTTCAGATATAACCCTTTATCAGCCAGTATAAAACAAATAAATAAATAGTCATAACTTTTGAACTTTTGTGTCATCCATATACAATTCTAAATACGGTGGCAAGGCAACAGAAAAATGTGTTTCTCTCTCGTTATGTGCAATAAAGGTTGGAAACCACTGACCTAGCTAATCCAAATTACCCCGCTCCCGTTTGCGACTTGCGAGCTATATGCATAAATTACAATTAGTTGAGTGCACCTTGTTACATCCAGGTGCACCAATATTGTCGCACCGCCTGCACTAGCGACATGTTTTCTTACTTAGCTGTAACATTAATTATAATTAAGTTTTACTATGGCAATCTGAAATGTAACATTGGATCTTAAAAGGATTTTTATGCGGGGCCATTGATAAACTATTCTTTATGCTTGGGCTAACTTTAAACTAAACAAAGGAAATATCAAAATCGATAGCTAGGGCGGTACAGAGTAACAAGTTACTTAAGTTACATGGAGTAAACATTATCATGTATGAATGTGGATCGTTGGAGTACATTGCTTTAAGAGTTTTTCGATTAGGCCTCTTTCCTAACACTAGCCATTTATAGAAATATAGGTACAATTAATTAGTGTAACTTTTCTTTATTTCCAGCTAACGATACCCCACGTAATGGCCACTTTATTCTGGTGCAAGATCTTCAAAGCTCCTGACTTACCTAAAAAGCATCACATCGTCGGCTATCAACCGATCATAGACAGCAGACCGATCAGAGACAAACAGCCGGTCATAGAGAAGGATAGTCTATCGCCTGTACACCATATGGTGCTATATGAGTGCGCGGAGGACCCTGATAAGCAGCTATGGAACGACTGGGCGGAAAGTGATGGTTTCTTCGGGCCGAACAGACCTAGTCAGTGGGCGACCTGCGTGACGCCTATAGCGGCTTGGGCTATTGGATCTAAAGGTGAGTTTGCGAACTATAAAGCAGCTTAAAGCTGTTAGACTAAGAGCTACTGAACGCCAGACCTACGTTATTTTATAAAGGCTGAAAGTTTGTCAGCGCATGCTCCCAACATAGCTAAGAACCATGGCCAAACATGAAGTTTGGGTCATGGTGGCTTTGGCAGACAGACGGTACTAAAGGTGTGTAAAATACCAACTTAATTACGTCAAAGTATAAAGGCTGATTTTTTGATATTTCCTTCAAAATGTTATTAGAAATGACGTCAGTCATTGACAGACACCTACCATGGTGGCAGACCTTAGCCAGACACCTCAAAGTTCATGAAAATGTAGTCCTACTTACGCCATACTATAAAAGCTGATAGTTACATAAAATATTTAAACTATCATTTGATGAAAATCCCTCATCAGCCAGACACTTCTGATGGTTCCTTCGCCTTGCCAGACAGCTTTTAGGGTGGCTGAAAGTGCGAACGCGTGGCACTATAAATATTGTTTTTTGTACTTTTTCTTAAGTTATTCAAGTATTTGAGTCTGTAAATCATCATCTCATGTTGATGAGCTGATGATGGAAGGTAAGTACAACTCCTTAAGGCTTAGGAGTTGGAGGACAATTCCTTAACCAGTATATATCTGGGGGCACGGCAGTGCCCCCACCAAGTCGAGCAAAAAAGCGGCACGGCCGTACCATCCTTTTCTCGAAGCAATTCAGGCCATTTTCGACTGCCTGTAACTTCGTTGTGGATAAAACTAGAAGGCTGAATTTTCATTAGCTATGCAGGCATTGTAAAGACACGGTATATTTAAAATTTCATTCAATTTGAACCAGTAGTTTAAGAATTATAACGGGTCAAAGTTACTTAATTTTGTCACTCACTGACTGCTGCCAAACTTTCAGCCTTTACAAAATAACGTAGGTCTGGCGTTCACTAGCTCTTAGTCTATGTACAATATGGATAATAGTAGTTTAACTGTTCTTGTGGAAATGGTAGTGCGAGTAGACACACCGTTCCCTTGTGTACCCTTTCAACAATCATGGGACTTAAATTGATATTGCGGGGCATAATTAACACTTATAAAAATTAACTGTTTGCAACGCGCGCTTGTAGGAAGTGTGTAACTACTGTTCAATGATCTTTTACGCATCATCTTTAGAGGAGAGCTACTCATTTTCAGCTATGGACGTATTTTGACTAAAATTATGATGATGAAATTTAATGATGGATCATCGTGGATAGATAGCTATAACTGTTGTATTCACAATCACACAAATATTGTATTGTCAATTATTGAGCTCACACTTGTAGTATACCTCATTAACTGCTTACCGGAATATAAACCCAAATTACCGAAATCAACTACCAAGCTGTCTATTATCACCGCAGCAGATTCCTCGCATTCCAGTGTAATAATTCCAAACAATACCGCGATTCCAGGGGAGTATTTGCCGGAGAACGTCGGCATACCGGTTGGAGAGAGGAGCGGGGTGTCTTACTATATGCTGGAGGTACACTACGACAACCAGGCGTTACATGAAGGTGAGTGAAGGCATTGAGATGTTATTTTTTAAGAATATTAGCAAACCTATTTATAAAAGCGAAAGGTCACTGATTGACTGACTCACTCACTCATCATGAAATCTCAGAAACTACAAGTGCTAGGAATCTCAAATTTTGCACGGGGGTTCCTTTTAGAACGTAGGTGCTCACTAAGACGCGATTTTGCAATATTCAACCCCTAAGGCGGTAAAACGGGATCCACGCGTACGAAGTTGCGGGCGACCGTTAGTTACTAATAATCCCGTTAACCCCTCGTGGTAAGTTAAATACTTATGCTTGTGTTACGAATGGGCTCACCACAATAGTCGAGCGGCAGCGGGAATCGAACCCAAAATTTCTCAGATCACGAGCCGGCCAGTCCGACAACTTCACCGTTCGGCGATCGTCGCTTCAAAGTAGCTTATGGCCAGTTAGAATGGAATTTAAAGTTACTGAATGAATTTGACTAAAAATCCATATTTAATGTATGAGAATTAGAGCAAAAAATTAAGCCCCAAAATTCGTCGATTTTTCGAGTGGTGCTCAGCTACTTGGATTTCGTTCCAGCCGAATGACGTCCATTGTTGGACAAAGGTCTCCTCCAAGGTTTTCCACAATGAACGGTCCTGCGCTGCCCGCGCATCCAGGCTCTTCCCGCGACCTTCACCAGATCGTCGGTCCACCTAGGCCTGCCCACGCTACGTCTTCCAGCCCGATTGGATTTACACTACCCTAACTAGTCAAAAGCCCTTAACTACATCATGCCTTGCGATTTACTATAGAATAGTTAAATTAGCGTTCATTACGACTGAGCTGTATCTGGCTAAAAACAGTAAAATGTTATAGTTTGTAAAAAACAAAATGGCAACCACAATACGGCTGTCTTGCTAAGTGGACACAAATTGTACCAACTGCTACATCCACGAATAAAAATGCCATAAACTTTTAGACCGTCGTAAACAGTAAACATGGTTTATACGATCTACAGTTTATTTGTTCGACTAATCCTCTTTTGGCGCATCCAGATACAATGTTTCCGATTTAATAGTACTACCAGAGTAAATATAGTGACGGCCGTTTGGTGTAGTGGTTCAGAACGGACTACTATGCCGAGAGGTCCCGGGTTCGATTCCCGGCCGGGCAGAAATTGAAATGATGAATTTTAATTTCTGTGACGGGTCTGGGTGTGACTATGTATAATATGTATGTATTTAAAAAAAAAAGTATATAAGTAGTATATCCGTTAAGCTAGCACCCATAACACAAGCATTAAGTTGCTTACTTTGGGGCTAGCTGGCGCTGTGTGAAATTGTCCAAAGATTATTATTATTATTATTATTATTAAATACAAATGAGTAGGTCAACTTCATAGAAACGCACCGAGCGAAAATTTAGCAGGGATTAGCGGGGAGCCAAGCGATAAATTGTGGTTTTGGATGGGGCTTCATTACCAAATGCAGAAATCATCCGGTCAACACACTGTGTTTGTGTTAAACCACTCCGAAAGTCATAATAAATCATCGCTCTTGAATTTTCTCGAGTCAATTCCATTTTCTCAACGACTAAACAAGTTTGACTAGACCTTGTGATACGACCGAGAATCTTTTTTTAAATAAATAAATGGTATACGATTTTTAAAACCCTGGAGTTTGCAATTAAATAGATTTTAATATGACTGGAACAGTGGAAATATTCCATTCCCGATACTTTTAGTGCAGCCCTCGTATGAAGATGACCTACTCATTTGTATTTACTCTGGTACTACTTTATGTGCCACCGAAGCGTAGAATAACTTTACTGTCAAAGTAAGCTATCATAAAGATTATTCTATGCCTTGGAGGGAAGGGCCTTCTTGTATGACACTCAATAAACACATGTTTGTATTCTTGGATCTATGTATTTTCCTCCTTGTATTCCAGTATTTTAAGTGTATTTTATTAGTATTTTCTCCAAGACCAAGATTAACACAGTTAAACATACATGATGAACAATATCCATGATGGACCAATTAAAATTCCCACGTGTAGAAATTAATTTGGTGGTGTACCCAGTAGTACCTACATACACCTCTATGTTGTATCACAGTAATTTATTGAACAATCATACATCTAACACGCAGGTGTTGGTTGGTCAATGAGAATTTCAATAGCATATTAAAATTTTTATGTTCCACTTTATTTAGAGCATTGGTTCCCAAACTTATTTGAGACGCGCCCTCTTTCGACCATACAAAAAATTCCGCGCCCCCCCTCCTCCAGTCAAGATTATTTATTGGTCGTATCGAGCAGTCTGGAATGCATTCTCTCAGCGGTTGCAGGTTTTTTTATACTAAAGTACACAGATGGCCCGCGCCCCCCTTTGAAGGTTATTGCGCCTCCACTTTGGGAACCAATGATTTAGTTATAGTATCTTTAATTGAACATTTTCTTGTCTAGTGCTATTTATTAACAAGTAACCTTTCCCTCCAGTGCTCGACAGCTCAGGCATCCGAGTTTACTATACACCGGTTATACGCGAGCACGATGCGGCGCTGTTAGGCGCCGGTATAGGGGTGTCGGCGCTGCACGTCATCCCGCCCAAGCAGCGCCAGTACCGCACCGTCGGCATCTGCAGCCCGGAGTGCACTGAGAGCGTAAGTAACACACATCTATCTAAATATATAAAAGGAGAAACTGACTGACTGACTGACAGATCAACGCACAGCCTAAACGGCTAAACGTAGGCACTTGAAATTTGGAAGGGACGTAGTCTAGGTACCGTAGAGGTGCACTAAGAAAGGAATTCCCGAAATTCCCATGGGAACGGGAATTAGCGGAAAAATCCTTTTGTATGAACAATCTAAACCGCTTAAGTTAGATGCTTGAAATTTGGTGTGCAGGTACCTTAGTAAACTTAAAGCTTAGGTACAACAGGATATCGTAAAATTCCCACGGGAACGGGAGTTAGCGGGAAAAAACATTTGTATGAAAAAATCTAAACCGCGTAAGATAGATGAAGACGGGTAAAACGGGATCCACGCGTACGAAGTCGCGGGCGGCTGCTAGTTATGTATTATGTAGTATATGACGCGGCGCTGCTAGGCGCCGGTATAGGGGTGTCGGCGCGGCACATCATCCCTCCCAAGCAGCGCGCCAGTACCGTCCGGAGTGCACTGAGAGCGTGAGTAACAAACATACACGACATTATGTATTATGTAGTACACGATGCGGCGCTGCTAGGCGCCGGTATAGGGGTGTCGGCGCTGCACGTCATCCCGCCCAAGCAGCGCCGGNTCAGGGTTACCATTTTATAAGATCTCCTCACTATTGAGGGTAACAAAGTAACATTAATAATCTAGCCATTAATTACATTTATTACCTATACGAGAAAGTAAAGCAACATGCGGTTTTATTTTAATTTGTAAAATATTTGTAACAGTTTGTTCTAAATTTAGTTTTACAACAGTATTGCTGTTTCAGCTGTGACTGTGAAGCTTTGGGAAAATAAATAAATAGAAAAAATATTAACATAAATATTTATTTAAGTTTTTATGTTCATTATCATAATATGCCAATTTAAGTTACACTGTGTGACAAGTCTTTGACACTAAACAAACTCTTCAGCTTAACGTAAGTGGAATTAATCCTTTTTGTTTGATCACATATAAAAATAACACAAGTGTTAAGGAAAACTTCTTCTTTGGTATGGTATCACCACGGAGTTATAATGGCGGCAACTCTGTATCACTGACTTGTAACTTTCAAACAGTATGAATAATAAGGGCACCACATTGGTTTTCTTTCTGAAAAAAGGCTTTCACTTTTAGTACTAACCCTTTAGCACTATTTCATTGAAATAAAAATACAATAAACGCACAGAAGACTGAAATTGAGTCAACTGACGTGACATTTATAATTTGTTGACATTATGACAGTTTGACAAGACTAGGGATTGAAAAAGTTTTTTACCGCACCGTCGGCATCTGCAGCCCGGAGTGCACTGAGAGCGTGAGTAACACACATCTATCTAAATATATAAAAGGAGAAACTGACTGACTGACTGACAGATCAACGCACAGCCTAAACGGCTAAACGTAGGCACTTGAAATTTGGAAGGGACGTAGTCTAGGTACCGTAGAGGTGCACTAAGAAAGGAATTCCCGAAATTCCCATGGGAACGGGAATTAGCGGAAAAATCCTTTTGTATGAACAATCTAAACCGCTTAAGTTAGATGCTTGAAATTTGGTGTGCAGGTACCTTAGTAAACTTAAAGCTTAGGTACAACAGGATATCGTAAAATTCCCACGGGAACGGGAGTTAGCGGGAAAAAACATTTGTATGAAAAAATCTAAACCGCGTAAGATAGATGAAGACGGGTAAAACGGAATCCACGCGTACGAAGTCGCGGGCGGCTGCTAGTTATGTATTATGTAGTATATGACGCGGCGCTGCTAGGCGCCGGTATAGGGGTGTCGGCGCTGCACGTCATCCCGACCAAGCAGCGCCAGTACCGCACCGTCGGCATCTGCAGCCCGGAGTGCACTGAGAGCGTGAGTACACAAACACACATTATGTATTATGTAGTACACAACGCGGCGCTGCTAGGCGCCGGTATAGGCAGAGTAAATACAAATGGTCATCTTCATAGAAACGCATTGAGCGCGGTTTGTATGTGAGCGCGCCAATACGTATGCGGCGCGCACGAACACAGTGACAAAATTTAGCGTGGATTAGCGGGGAGTCAGTCGTGGTTGCGCCGAATTTTGTCAGTGTGTGCGTGCGCGCCGCATTCGTATTGGCGCGCTCACATACAAACCGCACCCGTGCGTTTCTATGAAGATGACCTACTCATTTGTATTTACTCTGGTATAGGGGTGTCGGCGCGGCACATCATCCCTCCCAAGCAGCGCGCCAGTACCGTCCGGAGTGCACTGAGAGCGTGAGTAACAAACATACACGACATTATGTATTATGTAGTATATGACGCGGCGCTGCTAGGCGCCGGTATAGGGGTGTCGGCGCTGCTCGTCATCCCGCCCAAGCAGCGCCAGTACCGCACTGTTGGCATCTGCAGCCCGGAATGTACTGAGAGCGTGAGTACACAAACACACATTATGTATTATGTAGTTATCGAAGTTGTTGACAATTATGTATACCTGGGACAAACAGTCCAGTTAGGTAGGTCCAACTTCGAGAAAGAGGTCAATCGTCGAATCCAACTCGGATGGGCAGCGTTCGGGAAGCTTCGCCATATACTCACGTCCGAAATACCGCAGTGTCTTAAGTCGAAAGTATTTGACCAATGCGTGTTGCTAGTGATGGTATACGGATCTGAGACGTGGTCGCTTACTATGGGCCTCATAAGAAGGCTCAAGGTCACCCAAAGGGCGATGGAGCGGGCTATGCTCGGAGTTTCCCTGCGTGATCGAATCAGAAATGAGGAGATCCGGAGGAGAACCAAAGTAACCGACATAGCTCGCAGAATTGCTAAAATCAAGTGGCAGTGGGCGGGGCAAATAGCTCGTAGAGACGATGGCCGTTGGGGCAGGAAAGTTCTCGAGTGGCGACCACGGGCTGGAAGACGTAGCGTGGGCAGGCCTCCTACTAGGTGGACCGACGATCTGGTAAAGGTCGCGGGAAGAGCCTGGATGCGGGCAGCGCAGGACCGTTCATTGTGGAAAACCTTGGGGGAGGCCTTTGTCCAGCAGTGGACGTCATTTGGCTGAAAAGAAGAAGAAGTGTATATGATGCGGCGCTGTTAGGCCCGGTATAGGGGTGTCGGCGCTGCACGTCATCCCGCCCAAGCAGCGCCAGTACCGCACCGGGAATAATCTAAAACTAAAAACCTTTCGAACAGATTTCTTTGGCAGGACCCTCACATGTGAATAAAGAGTCTATTTCGTTCTTAAAAGATTTTATAAAGTATTTTTCAAATAGTATTCCAACGCCTACATCAACCTAATCTCCTAATAAACCGATATTTTTACTAATCGCTGTGGTTGTTACAGACAATGCCAAAGGAGGGAATAAACATCGTGTCAGTGTTACTTCACGCTCACGGAACAGGGAGGAAAATTGCGTTGAAGCACATCAGAGGAACACAGGAACTACCAGTTATATCAGAGGTATTTTAATTCAGAATAATATTAATTTTGGTTACCTACAGAATATTCTGAAGAATTTGTAATTGTAGCGCCATCTAGAAACCACTTAACCGTGCGCGACGACTACGTGCTTATTTAAAAGCATGCTATTGAGACATTGTAACAATTGTTAATAATACCAATAGATGGCGCTTAGTTTAGATGTCTTTTTTATATGTTCCAATAGATGGCGCTTAATTCACATTTTTTTGTAGACTGATTTTCACTTGTTTAGTTTTCTATTCGTTTTTGTATCTTTCAATAGATGGCGCTTACTTTATATTTATTTTTGTAGACTAATTTGTAATTTTGATAATCATAGGAAAACTCCTACGATGCTCGCTACCAACAATCTCGCGTGGTGCCTGGTGGAAGGAAGTTCAAGAAAGGTGACACACTGATCACGGAATGTACTTACGACAGCACATCAAGAGACAAGCCTATTTTGGGCGGTTATTCTGCATCACAGGTAATTATGATGTTCCAACAAAGTAGAATAGAAGCGCTAGGAATAAAAGATCTCGCCTAACCATATCGTCGCTTGCCTCTCTAACTGAAATATCTGTCATTTTTTTCGAAACTGAGTTATCTACATCGCAAGACGAATCGATCTGTCTAATCGCCTGAAAATTTTGCAAAATGTCAGTTACGTCAGTTAGAGAGGCAAGCGACGATATGACTAGCGCATGGAGTGTAGGCTATCCGCCATCTTCTATGAAGTTATAGTGTTGTTATTTTTTAGTGGAGATTAAATGACCCGATGATGTTGAAACTTCTATAATCTCATCTTTTGTGTGCTGGCTCATTTTTTTAGATTAAAATAGTAACAAGACTATGGAAGGTTTGTGCCTAGCACAATGTAGAGTGCATTAAAGTATAAAATTAATTCTAACTGCCGAGTCTTGACTTTGTAACATACTGTTTTTATAAGGCCTTGAATATTCTATATCATAAATTATTTGTTCCAGGAAATGTGCCTATCCTTCGTGCTATACTACCCTCGCACGCAGTTAGCGGGCTGCTACTCTATGACGCCGGTCAAGGAGTTCTTCGAAACCTTCGGAGTTAAAGAATTCTATGGCTTAAGCATGATGCAGGTGGAAAACATCTTCTTGTCTTCAGGGTGAGTTGATTTTGAACATTACTGATTTAAGAGAGAGGGCTATGGTTTTATTGCTCGTCAGTTGCCGCCACTATAGATTAAGGTCCTGTCACTCGCTAGCAGCTAAGAAAGTGGCGTCAACTGTTGAAGCCGTACTAGCACTATAAAAATGTGCACTTACCAGGATGACACCACTGTGTACAGTACAGTAAGGTTCTATCACCTACAAATGGTGCCTAATGGTACCGCAATCGCACCTGGTGTTATGATAGCCCTCATTATATGGTACACACACACTATTTTCATGTTTGTATATTATATGTCATATAAATCTATATTAATATTGTAAATGCGAAAGTAACTCTGTCTGTATGTCTTGCTTTCACGCCTAAACCGCTGAACCGATTTTAATAAAATTTAGAACAGAGATAGTTTGAGTCCCGGGAAAGGACATAAGATAGTTTTTATCCCGGTTTTTGAAACAGGGACGCGCGTGACAAAGTTTTTCTGTGACACAAAATTCCACGTTGGCGAAGCCGCGGGCCGAAAGTTAGTTATACTTATAAACAACAATATGTAATAAACATAAATGTGCCAAATTTCATGTATTTTCATTTAATTTTTTGCTAATTTCAGAAACCTGGAAAATCTGCCACCACAACTTGAAATTGATATGCAGCAGAGGTATAGCGAAGAAACAGCAATGCAAGGAGACGACCAAGGCGTTGGGTTGATGAGTAAGTATTGTTAAACATTATTTAACAAACATTTTAAAAGACACGTGAGACTTTGACACGTGACAAACGTCAAAAATCTGTCAAACTCCATACAAAAAGCACCGGTTATCGTTATAGTTACGGTCAAAGTTAGATGGTTTGCCAGCAATCTGAGTGGTACATTCAACAGCATATCAGATTATATCAAAATCTTTCAGTCATCTAGCTTGATGCGCTGCCACTATAAGTTTTGTCTCTATGCTTTGTATAAAGTTATGAAGTATTCAGTCCTAATTATTACTAAAATTAATCCTAAATTATTATTGTCATTTGCAGAAGAGCTAATAATCCGCGAGCCTTTCGAATTCCGCAACAAGACGTTCATGGCCCATCTGAACGAAATGCCGTGGTCGGAGCGTCTGCTCACGGAACAGATTGAGAAAACTCTGTACAGAGGGAGCCACATGACGTTCTGTAAGAAGAGGGACGACACTTGGGGCGCGGTAAGTTTCTACAAGATGTTAGATAAATGGGTATATGAGCCGACACTAGCCCATGTTAACATGGTTATATAAATAGTGTGGTGAAGTCAGAAAATTGATATCTTCATTTTATTTATTTTTATTTTCATATAAATCGGATTTTATAAAATTTATTTTGTATGAAAATTAAACAAAATAAAATGATGATATCAAATTACTGACTTCACCAAACCATTTATATGCCCATCTTAACATGGGCTAGTGTCGGCTCATATACCCATTTACCTAACACCCTGTATAAATCATTCGTTTCAACCTAGAGCAGTGTTGCTGCTCTAGGTTGAAACGAATGCTGATGCTGGACAAAGGTCTCCCTCAAGACTTTCCACAATGATCCGATTATCCGGTCTCCCAAAAATTTCCGGTTTTGTGGTACCGGTATCCAGCTGCTTCCCAAAAACACTAGGATCGAACTGATCCCCGTTCGTGGACCCATTCCTAACATAAGCATATTTAGCTGAGGAGTTAACGGGACCATTAGTTTTTTACTACGTATACTAGTTAATATAACTGCATATTATAACTAAGATTGCGCAGCGGCCCAAGAGTCTTGGTCGAAAAATTCTGCGTCAACCAAAACTATAATCTAGTAAAAGAAAAACTGAAGTTATTTGCAAAAGTGCGCGGTTACAGTAGGTTTATTATTGTCACTGAAACTTTATAGAAGTTACCGATTTTTTAATATATTTTTTCTGTTACAGCCAATACAGATCCAGAACTATCCAAACTACACCGAGCTAATATCCAACGAGACATCTGAAAAGTCGTGCCACTACAAAAGCGTCAGACTACCCTCCGTCACCAAGTCAAGCGCCGCTAGCGCCACCTACAACAAACTAACAGCCATTTTGACAATCTGCGTCGCCTTCATCGTTGTCCGGTAATAAAAAACAAAACGTTCTTTTTTTAAAAGTACACCAATGAGTTTCTATGTTGTTTTTATTTTTCGTTTTGAATGTTTATGATGAGCTTATCAAGAGAGCAGTCGATGTCCGAATGATATAGTATTATTTTGCCAAATTATGTATCATAATTTGTTCGTGTATTTATAATTAGATTTCGTCTAGTTTTTGATCATTTACAGTCCTTATAATCAACAAAATTTCAAATTATGCCACATCTAATAAGTTTTCAAAATGTTCTGTTCTTATAATTTTAATGTATGTACAAAATATTTTACTGGAAATGATCAAAAGCGTTTTAGCGGGCAGTTATCTGTCAATGTTACATTGATTATAGACTTTGAGCCAAAGGTTATAACGTCTATAATGTATCGACAGTTTTTTTTACAATTAGGTACTTTTGTATGTGAATTTTACGAGAGTGTTTGTGATTTTGTGTACTTATGGGTTTATTGCTCATTTACTTCGGCATGTCTCATAGTACTTTAAGGCTAGTATCAGTACCAAATAATGGTATGTAGGTATCTTTATTGTTTTTTACGAAGAAAATTTCCGTTTCGACTGATATTTAGGATTCCAGTGACCACTATATTGTTGTGAATGAAACGTGTTGTGCTTATACAAAGCCTATGCATGCAATTAGTGTGCCTTTTTAATTAAGGTGTATATCGTAAATATTGTGAGCATGTTGATTTGGAAATGTCACTCAAACCTTATTCAAATTTTTCAGTCTTAAAACATTTAATAAAAGCCCTAGTTTGTCTCTTTTCATCTTAGATGGATTAACATTGTCAGAAGGAGACAAAGCATGCATTTGTTAAACCAGTGTTATTTTTTTATAAAAAAAGATTATAGAAGTAACTTAGTTGACCACTGTATTTTCGTTATGATGCCAGATTTTTCTTATTTAAATTATTATTTGCTCAGAATTTTGAGTGAAAGATTTATGTCTCCAAATCAACTACTTTGTAAAATCGCCTTGTCTCATTAGGTAGGAACTTGAACAATAAATACAATGCAATAACTAATGTTAAGTAAACAGCTGTTTAGGATATAATAGTTCTTTCATCTTCAAAATCCATGGTTTAATAAAAAAAAATCATTAAAATTTCATCTTCATAAAAATTATTCCAAAAATTCACTGTATCCCCTATTTTTAATCCTTTGCATGATTATTAAAAACTTTATAATTATTAATAGTCAACCCAGTGATAATGCAAAAAAGATGCGAAACTTGTCACAAAATAACTTATTTTGAAATAAAGTTAAAAATCAATTAAGTATTTTGACTATTGTGGTAAGGTGGCATAAGTATTTACTTTGCAAAATGAATCTTGTAGATTATTTTTGTATGTCCATTTACATGTAGATACTGTCTTAATCAAAATAATATACCTTGCTGTGTATAATATAATTAAGCTATAACGGCTCAAGTATAATTAAAAGCATTTATGAATATTCAATAAAATGTAATGTAACAAAATTATATTGTAGATTGTGTCAAATATAAATTGCTATGTCCAATCGTAAACAAATAGAATAAATTATTTTTTATTTCTGTGAACTATTAATATTTCATTAATTGTTTATTGATTTTCAAGCAATAAAATTGAAATGTAAAAATTGATTTCCTTCTGATATTATTTTATATACGTGAACTTATTTTTACAAGCTTTTGTTTTGCTTCTCTCAGTCCAGATTTGTGTTATCCAAGTAAACATATAATAATGTATGAAATTCTGTAAGTAATAGATTTTATGTCATTGACATACGAATTTTTTACCGAAATGTACGATTTAGTTTAATGGTTAAAGAAAAGCTTGTTTTTAAAAATTTTCTTTTCTCTATATTTGTGTTTCTGTCTCAATTATTGTATTTATTAATAATGTATTTTCTTTCATGTTGGTACTATATCTGTCTCATAATAATATAGATAAACAAAATAGGGCTGTGCTTAATAGGCTCCACGGTTTTAGTCTGTTTCTACAACTACAGTTTACTATTTTTGTAGAATAAATGTAAAATACGTAATATAATTTGCAATTATTTTTATTAATTCTCCAGCGTTGTGTGTAGTTGTAAAAACAGAAAATTATTCATCAACAAACGAAGTGTTTTGAGTCATTGTTAAAACTACTGCATTTCGCTATTTTTAATTTATACCTTTTATAAGGGCTTAATTGTAAGAATACGCTTAGTAATTAAGTTTTATTTATTTAAAAAGTCAATATAACGGTTTATTACTTTCAAAATTGTATTTTTATTTTCATTTTACAATAAATAACTGATTAATTTAGGCAAGATTTGCATTGGGAGTGCAACTTAACTAATCAAAATTGGGATTCTTTATAGTCATTTTTGCAGATTTCTTTACAAAATTCCATTGATTTAGCTACATTTTGTGTTCTTTGTGTTGTTAAGTCAGAATCCCCTCACCTCCCAAACTCATACTCTGTTTTATTTACAACAATTGCTGTTTATTTTTAATCCTATTTAACGCAGCAACTACATTCTTGTCCACGATTTGCCATGAAGTCGTTCCATCTGCATTTGTCACGGCTATTATCCTTCCAGAATTGTAAAGGTCTTCCAAAGTATTGGGCGTTCTTACGGTAACTGGTTCACTAACCAAATCATTGTCAGAGAACCGGTTGACGAGAACAGAATTGGCTTGGTTTGAACTCACTGGGACCTGGTTCACATTGGTAGGGGGTCGGTTAAAATTAGTTGGGGCTTGACTGAAACTGGTTGCCTGTTGGGTGAAACCGGTCGTCTGCTGATTAAAGTTCTGTTGTTGAGTTGGTTGCTGGTTGCTCAAAGGGTCAACGAAGACGTTTGGTTTCTGGGGGAATGTCTGCGGTTTCTGCCGATGGGCTTCGTAGGCTTGCCAGTTGATGAACCAGAACGGTTGCTGGTCTACCGGGAGTTTGCTGAGGCGGTCTACCAGGTCTCTGTCGCCGTTCGCTTCTATGGGCAGCCGTATAGTTGTTGTTGAGACGTCATCCTCACCAAATCTGCAAACAAAGAATACATACGTTATCCTATGGTTCTTTTCTTACGCCATATTTATTGTTCATCACGCCATAGTAGGCGATGGCACGTGAAGCTTTACACACTGGCATCTTATGTAGTTGTAATGGGGGCGATTTAGCAACTAAAATTAAAGTCCGATGTGCTGTCAACTTTCTGCTGTCTGAGAACAATTTTCATGTCTGGATTTCATGTATGTGTCACGAGGTATTAAATCTTATTATTGAGTAAATTGATACCGAATACGTAATTAATATTTTATGTGGTTCTTTAATCAATGTAAACATGTTGACATGATCGTGTCCTTAAGGAAAACCTTAATATAGAACCTACGAGGTACTTTATAATATTTTAGCATGTTAGTAAAGAAGGAATTAAGTATGCTGGATGATATTATTCCATTAGAGCTCCCACGGACAGTAGACTTTTTGTCAGTCGATTATTTTATCGGTATCTAATCCAAATACTTAGGCCGGGTTTCACCATCTTACTTTAACTTTAACAAACGTCCAAAAACTGTCAATCTCCTTACAAAAAACACCGGTTATCGTTATAGCTACGATTAAAGTTAGGTGGTGCAACTCAGCCTTACACCACACGTCTCTTTCGTTGGTTACAGTAAAGCCTAAATGACGTCCACAGCTGGACAAAGGTCTCCCCCAAGGATTTCCATAAACATCGGTTCTGCGTTGCCCGCATCCAGGTACTTCCCGCGACCTTCACCAGATCGTTGGACCACTATGTGGGAGGCCTGCCCACACTACGTCGTACGTAAAAAGTCTTTGAGGATTCTTGTTGTTGTTCTCTTAAAATATCATCAACCTAATTTACCAAGTGCATTTTGTGATCAGTAAAACACAACCTTTTAAAATGTACCTACCTACCGTTAATTCAGGTTTTTTAGAGCCTTGAATCTAAAATTGTGTATCGCTAATCCATAATTGCTATAAGAACAACGTGTAGTAAAAAAATTCGGTAGGTAGGTACTTTGTAAGTAACAGGTAATTCAATCACCAGCGTGGCTAATGGGTAGTTTTTGTAGGAGGTAAAGAAGGATAAAGTTACACCATAGAAAAAACAAAAAGTATGCAGTGTGGTCATGGTGGGGTAGAGATACCATGATTTGTGGGTAGTTTGAGGTCTTAAAACGCATGTCCCGGTTAATTCCTGTCTAGTATTTGGATTAATTAAGTAATTGTGACTGAAAAAGACAATTTGTGTCTATTAATTATTCAAAATAAAGTTAAATTTATGTAGAATTTCTTTAAGTACAATCTTTATAGTGTCCATTCCATGGGAGATTTAAACTTTTTAAACTAATATTTGAAGGTGATTAATTTTGATTTTTTTTCGTTAAAATTAATTAAATTACATATTATTAGAGGCCGGTCGATCTATTCTCATAAATAAAACACTGGATACTCATCTTTCACATTATATTGCCTTATTTTAATTACAATTCATCACTTAGCACAAAAGCGCGCGGAGTCGTCTCCGCGCGTCCCTCTATTCTGACGTTTTATGCTAGCGTGACATTGACGTATCGTCAATGTCACTATGACAGCATCTCATTGGCCACAACGATACCGTTATTTTAACGTTTTAGATTTTTCATAATTAACAATATGTAACGCGAAAGTTTAAAAATAGTAATTTGCACATTTGGCACCCGCTGAAAACCAGTGTCGAGACACGCGTACACGCGCGTTTCGATTAATACTGAGCGGGGCCTTTTTGGCACGAGATTTATGTATTGTTTAATGTAATGTTGTGTGTTTAATGTTTTTTTTGTGTTTTCTCTTCTTTTATTTGCTCATTTTCATTTGTGTTTTCATGTCAAATAAAGGTTTTTCTATTTCTATTTCAATTCACACACACATTTCAGACAAAATAATGTGTAGGCAAAAACAAATTAGGATTTTGTAAACTGTATCTGGCAACACTATTGGGTATAGGTACTTTAGTTGTAATTTTAGTGTGGTTCTTCTACATCAAAAGGAGGATAAACATCGTATCAAAATAATGGCCGGTTCGAAGACAATAAATTGAAATCAATTTGCCATTGTTCGACAAAATAATACCTTACAACTTGCAAAGTAAGTAGGTACCTACTTATGCATGCTTGACTTTTAGAGCAAGTGTTTTTATTTACCTGCAATTTGTTCTGTACCAACCTGTGTCATTCATCGTCAAACTCATAGATCAGCTAACTGTGGTTAGTATTTTTTAGTATTTTCTTATTTTCTTCATTTTACACACAACCGGAATACCGGTGATTGTAGCAGCGGCATGATTCGAAGTCTGAATCGGACTCTCTTGAGAAGTCGCCTCTATTTACAACCAGGTAAGTGTTTAGATAACTTCTATAAATACATAATGCTCTCAACAGACTGTACGTAGTGGTAGAACTCTAACAATCTTCCTACCTCCTGAAATGCTAGTCCAGTCCTATGATACCTAGGAGTTCCATTGATAGCTTTGGTCTTATTTTCGGTACCCCCAGCTCGATAATATCGTTCTCGTTATGGTAATTTATTTTTGTATGAAAACCAAAACTACTAATATCGTTTAAAGAATACGATTAAGCACTTTATGAGAGTTATTCGTGCTCGGGGTTGCGATTATTTCACCTAATGCAAGCAGAGATGGTTGAGTTAGCTTTGCCTTATGTATATTTCCCTAAAATCGGGAGAAATAATGAAAAAGTGGGTAATCTTACCTGTTCCCCAATCCTTCGGTGGTGGTCTTCTCAACTTCGGGGAAGCCAATGGGCCTGCTTCCAGCGAACGAGGGTCGTTGCCCCGAAACCAAGGTCAATGACACCGCCAGTATCAATATTTTATGACACGACATTCTGCAAAGATGATAAAAGTGGGTCAAATGAGTACTTACGGTCTTTAAAACCGGCCAAGTGCGAGTCCGACTTTGATTGTTCTGTACGACAACTTTGTTGTTGTATGGAAGCCTGTCCCCCATTAAATATTTATTTTTAAAGTGAGTACCTATTACCTGTCTACCTGTTTCTGTTATTAATAAGCTAAGTTTTAGACAGAATAAACAAGATTGTATAATCTAGCTTTCATAAGAGTTTATTCCACTTTATTCACCTGGGTGTATGATACCAAGGTGAAATGAGGACACTATAAATCTACTTTGTTCACCTAGGTGAACAAAATGGAATAAACCTTCATGAGATACCTACACTACACCTGATGACAGGCAGTGAAGTCTTAGTAATAGGGTCCCGTTTTTGCCCTTTGAGTACGGAACCCTCAAAATCAAAATAAACAAGATTGTCTTATTAATAGTGATTGACACACATGTGACGATGATCTTTAACATTCTAAATAAACAAGCCCTTATCATAATGATGCGATTCTATTTCTACATAACAAAAACATTGAATTACGAGTAACTAGGTAATTGTTCTTCAAAGCAAAAATAACGAATTTTATTCGAAAATTTCATAATACCAACACAAAGTTTAAAACATACAAGTTTGTATTAAATATGCAGAATATTATGTTTTGTTAACCCTCAATAAGAAGATTAATAAAGTAGGTAAGTTTACTTATTCAAGTGCATGGTCATTATAAGTTTTTTAGTACAAAAGTTTTTAACAAAATTTGAATTTTGTATAACACCTTCTGTCTCTACCCACTACACCGTATCATACCATGACCTTTATTGAAAAATTTGACAAAAAATTACCGGTCAAATGCCATTGTATATAATTATAACTAAATTATAATGAGTGCGCCACAATAACAATTAATAAAAATTTTCCAAGACAGGTTTTTGTCATAAGCTTTGCATAATCGCATCAACATTCATAATAAATTAAATGCATAATGTTAAAAACTGCGTTTAAACTAAACAAGGTTATCTTCTTATCTCGAACTATCAGAATCACTTACCTACTTCTTATAACACAACAAAATTAAACACTTAAATTGAGTTAATTTTTCACTAATTTTGATTAATAAAAACGCTCACCTCTGCCTTTATCTAAACACACAGCAAGGACAAACAACACGTCCAACGGTACAGCCCAGACTGGTCTTTGCAAAAACAATAATACTTTTATAAGGAAAACGTGGCTGCGAAGCGCCGGAAATACCTATACCGCTTCATACAGGATTATTTACAAACGCACTGTAATAATCTCAAATAAGTACATGCGTAAGCGCAACTTTTGAAATTATTCATGAATTTATTGGTAAATTTATGCGTGAATGAGATGAATTTACTTTATTATCTATCGCAGTTCATTCATTGACCTAGTCTCCATTCGTTCTTGATTGAATGAATTATAATAACTTCTTATCTACATAACTTATTTACTACTAAGGCTGAGTTGCACCATCTTACTTTAATTTTAACAAACGAAAAATATTTGTCTAACTCCATACAAAACACCGGTTATTGTAGGTAATAGTTATGGTTAAAGTGAGTTGGTTCCACTCAGTCTTATTGTTACTACTACTATTTTAAAGAAGGTTTCCCGTTATTTAGTCATTTAATTTAACCGCATTTTTTCCACTAAAGGACAATGTTCGTTCTCCATACATTGTTCGCCTAAGAACCAACAATTTTGACATATTACTACCCGAAAGCGAAATAATACGATTCTGTGTATAAGAACAATGATTCCTGATGGACACTTGCCATAAAATTAATGATTAAGAATATTAAATCACAGCGATTTTATAATATGTCGTTTATGACAACATGGCGTCTAATGTATTGTGTGAATGTATGAACACCGATTCGCGAAAAATGTTTTGTATTGTCGTCACGCCGAGTCGCAGCCAAATAGTATAAAATAATAGAACAAGTTTTAGAAATACAACTCGGCATTCCACTTTTATAATATGCCCACATATTGCACGTAAATAAACAACATGAATCGTAGGTTGTTTCCACCCTTGTCATCTGACACATGAAATAAAGTATTATACACGTTCGAAGATTTGTCATTTTCATTCATTTCATCATCATCATCATCATTTCAGCCACAGGACGTCCACTACTGAACATAGGCCTCCCCCAATGACTTCCACATCGCACGGTTGCTCTGCGTTTTCATTCATTTATTATTTTCTTAAAGTGCCAGAAAAAAAATAGTTTCTAGCTGTCCCAGCAACTTCGTCAATAAAAAGTTGTCTTGTCTTATCTTTAAAATCGTAATATTAATTTCTGAACGTATCCTGTTTGACACCTAATAATATTATTTGACATTACTGGCTCGGCGAATTTCGGCAAATTAATTTTGACATTGCAGAATATGACTTTTGATAGGTTTATCATAGAATTCGGCGGGGATATCCTCACGGAGGAAGTTCGAAAAATGGCGGAACAAGATCTTATAATAATGCAAGGCCGAAGCTGTAACGCGCGTGCTCCTACGTGTAATCCGGCGAGTATACAATAAATAGTAATTTCTGGTAAATAGTGGTAATACGTATCGTTCGTTCGTTCGTTTCAGCCGAAAAGACGTCCACTGCTGGACTAGAGGTGGGCGCCACGCCGGCGCGCCGCCGCCGCCGCGAATTTTTTCACGCCGCCGCCGCCGACGACCAGCGGTCGGCGCGCCGATACTGATACTGTACCAACTATTTGCAATTAATTCCTCTCCTATACTGTACTAATTTGTGTTTCGAATGCAGAATAACTAACTATAATATTATTTTGTTCTATAATGCCATATAAATCGGTACACAAGGCGAACTTAATGCCGTTGATATACTAATAAATTGATTGAATAACTTAATACTAACTATATTAACAGTTAATCAAGTACATTATGCAAGTTGCTGCTTGGTAGACCAAGCAGCAACTTGGATTGCGGCAACCGGTCCCACTTACTATCAAGAAAAAATCCCCGCCTTCGTCTGGGAGACAACCCACACTATTGGACTATAATACTTTAAGCGAATCATTCACACAGAGATTGGCAAATATGTCTCGGAATGCAAATGGGAACCACAACCTCTGGAAGGCAACATAGTACCTCCCTCAAAGTGTTCTCCGCTTATTAGGTCCGGTAATACATGAGTGCGAACTTACAAGAAAAATCTCAGACCTTTGCTACATGACAAGCCGGTTTATTTAAACCCATTGACACGGATAATCCAAAATATCCACAATTCAATCCAAAAAATAAGATCAAGCATTGGACTTATCCGAGAATTGCAGCTATGCCTGCCTTTGATTCCTACTGATGATGATGATTCATCCGACCGATTTCGGTCATGGTGATCACTTCGATTAGCTGTCTTAGCTGCGCTGGTGCGCCTGAAGATGGCTTACATAGCCGATCTTCGTGGCAAACTCCTCGCACATTGAGAGTATCTAAGCCCACCGCCAACATAATTATAGTGAATGGCGGCAGATGGACGGGATTTACATCATCTCGTTTCGCGTCAAGTTCAGTTGTGCGCTGCTCCTAGAACTCGTGGACTTGCTCCTACACAATCTCCCTCCATTCTAGGCGCTGTGCTGCCAAACCTTCCAAAGGTGATTTAAGAGGGCTCATTTTGCATCTTTTCGTATGCTGCTTCTGGACATCTTTGAACCTGACTATCTGAGGAGTTGACCGCCATGTTTCCGCTTACCCTCCTCATGTTCAGAGTAGAAGATTGATTCCTACTACGCTAAGTAAAGACGAAAGACGCAGGAGGACAAAGTGATTGGCATAGCCCGCAGAATCGCTAAAATCAAGTGGCCTTGGGCGGGGCACATATCTCGTAGAGCTGATGGCCGCTGGAGCAGTAAAGTTCTTGAGTGGCGACCACGAGCCGGAAGACGTAGCGTGGGCAGGCCTCCCACTAGGTGGACCAACGATTTGGGGAAGGTAGCAGGAAGTCTTTCGGCTGAAACGAAAGAACTAACGCTAAGAGAGATGGCTAAGCTAAAGAAATAGCCAAAATGGACCCTCGTAAAGCACTTGCGTTTGATCTGGATCACCATGAAGTCCATGGTCTTGACAATGAGCACACTGAGTGAGAACCTCGCAAGTCTCTTAACTTTGGAAATGATCCATAAGGCTGGCAAGTCGCCTAACGAATTCTCCTATCGCTCAATTAATCTGACATTTGTATTGTTAAAATTATGGAAAAGAATCATTCTTGCTCGTTTATTCACTTGCCTAAGTATGACCCATGTAATAAAGTATACCCGACCATAAATTTTGGCAAAAACTATACCAACCATAATCAGTACAATGTTTGGAAAAGAAAGAATCCTGTACGTCTGCCTTCGCTGCGGCTTCAGCTGGGTTTATCACAAAGGACTACTCTATGAAATTAAAAGTACTTTCCAGCACACTTCTACCACCTGCTGATGGATTCTTATCTCAGTGACACACAGTTTTAAATGAAACTCGGTGACAAAATCTTATCTTTTTAGCTGCAGAGCTGGAGTACCCAGGACTCTGTACTTAGCCCGATACTCTATAACATCTACTAGTAAAGTAGCCCAGACACTAGAAAGCTGCGGCTTCCCTCAAATGTAACTGTGATCTTAAAGCGACTAGACTGTTGCAAAGTCAGCTGCTTGGCAGACCAAGTGGCGCATGTAATTAAGCCCCGAAGTCTCACCATATTATCATTTAAGAGTCAAGACGTGAAACTTATCCTCCGGCCAATCTAGACCTCGACACATTGCTGCAATCAACTTGAATTAAAATCCTGGACCGTAGGATGACATGGAAAGACCATAAATATAAATAAAATAGATCTGAACATAATATTCGACCGACAGTCAGCTAATCCAACATTAACTATGTGCCTCCAAAGAGCTCAAAAATACATGTTAAGAGTACTTTTATCGGCACATTGGTACGCTCGCCTT